TTTCATATAAAAATATTTAATATAAATAAATATTTCTACTATATAGGTTAAATACATTACATTTTAATGAAATTACATATTTCATTGAACATTCAATTACATATTAAAAATAGGTCAACTTTTTAATTGCTAAACTGTAACTAAATAACTGCTATAGTACTTGTTATTCTGTTCTATAAACAATTATGACGTTATGTTTACAGTACACATATCAAATTACTTTTTATGGAACAATGTTTAAAAACGTTAATCATTAATTATTATCATAAATATTAAGTGTACCTTAGAATGAACTACATGAAGTCAGATCCGTACAAAAATATATAAAATGTAACCTACAATTAATATTGTTGTATTCCTATCTGTATAATCATTTGAACATAGATTAACTACATTAACTACAGATTAACTAGTAGTTTTACATTTAATTTTAAAAAATGCCACACGCAAATTCCAATTTGGAGGAAAATTTGAACAAAATTGACAAATATACATACATATAAAATATCTTTATTGTCAGTAGCAGGATTAATGAAATCTTATTCAAAAATGAAAAAATAAAAACTTTAATTTATTATCGTTACAACAATTACTATTATGTTAACATTATTATATTATAATTTTTACTTTTGGATTCTATATATAAAATATAAAATGTTTTCGTACAGATAAACACAAAATTTACCAGTTGATGCGAATAATAATTCTGAGCAAAAAATGTAATATAAATAAATCCACGAAATTAAATAGTTAAGACGATATTGTTAATGTAAATTGCTAATTTTCGCTGATTGTAACCACATAAATGAACTTTTATCTTTGAAACTATTAACTGTACGGGCATGATGTTTCTTTCATATTACTTAAGAGGGATTTACGCTTCCTAAATAATATTTTTAATGCAAAAAATGATCGACTTTATCTGTAAATTTTGTTTGAATAAACTTGCGTATGAGGGATGCAGTTGATCAGTCTCGTAAGATCCCGGCCACCTTAGCCTGCTTTCCGAATTAACGTGCAAGTCAACATTTATAGAGTAAACTTCAAGAAATATAACATTTTTCAAATCAGATATAATGACATTTTACCAAGAAAACTGGAAAAAAAATCTTTATTTATAATTTTTGAATAGTTGAAATAATTTTTTGCATTAACAAAAACGATTTATAATGTTTAAACACTTTAGAGTAAAGTAAAAGAAACATATGTACGTAAGATTAACAATTTCCGAGATAAAAATCATTTATATGATTTTTATAAATATATCAAAATATATCAAATATATCAAAAATTGTCGAAAATTAGTAACTTTCATAAACTTTTCTTTAAGATTTCCAATTAGCACATTTTTGTTTACTACGAGAACACTGTATATGTCATTCACTGTCGAGGAATAAACTACTTAATTACGTCATAGTTAAAAATTTGCATTTTTATACTATTTGGATTTTTTTTTTTACAAATATATTAATTATCTTCAAAATGCAAAAGAACTTCAAAACAAATATAATTTTAAAATTTCTCTCCGTAAATATTGTAATTAAAGTACAAGTCTGAAGTTAGAACATATTTTTTGTTGTCATATTTTAATTATTTTAATTTTCTTGTGTTATCAAAATCAAAGTGCTTTATAAGTAACATTTCCTTCCCTAGTATTGTAATTGGTGACTAAAACATTTTTAGATAAAAATTTGCCATTCTCAAACTTAATTGAAGATTTGGTAACAATTTCTCATCTAATTCTTATTATAAAGCATAGTATACATAATGAAACTTTAATTTTAAAAAT